TTAAAAACCCCAAAACTTTTTTCACTGTTATAGATTGAATAGCAGTTAGTTGTCTGCCAGCGTCTGTGTCAGGCTCACAGTGGATACTGTGCCCAGTGCCACCACTCACTCACTGGTGTCACAATAGCTTGCATTTAAAAGCAAAAAACTTTTTTCACTGTTATAGATTGAATAGCAGTTAGTTGTCTTCAAGCTTCTGTGTGTCAGGCCTAAGCATACTGTGCCATTTTGCCCAGTGCCACCACTCACTCACTGGTGTCACAATAGTGTGCATTTAAAACCAAAAACTTTTTTCACTGTTATAGATTGAATAGCAAAGTTAGCTGCCCTCGCTGGTGTGTCAGGCCTACAGCGTGTACTCTGCCAGTTCACAGTGCCACTCATATCTGGTGTCACAATAGCGTGCATTTAAAAACCAAAAAACTTTTTTCACTGTTATAGATTGAATAGCAGTTAGTTGTCTTCAAGCGGTGTGTCAGGCCTACAACGTGTACTCTGCCAACCTTTGCCAGTTCAAAGTGCCACTCATATCTGGTGTCACAATAGCGTGCATTTAAAAACCCAAAAACTTTTTTCACTGTTATAGATTGAATAGCAGTTAGTTGTCTCAAAGCGGGTGTGTCAGGCCTACAACGTGTACTCTGCCAACCTTGGCCAGTTCAAAGTGCCACTCTTATCTGGTGTCACAATAGCTTGCATTTAAAAACAAAACTTTTTTCACTGTTATAGATTGAATAGCAGTTAGTTGTCTTCAAGCTGGTGTGTCAGCCCTACAGCGTGTACTCTGCCAACCTCTGCCAGTTCACAGTTCCACTCATATCTGGTGTCACAATAGCTTGCATTTAAAAACAAAAAACTTTTTTTACTGTTATAGATTGAATAGCAGTTAGTTGTCTTCAAGCAGGTGTGTCAGGCCTACAGCGTGTACTCTGCCAACCTCTGCCAGTTCACAGTGCCACTCATATCTGGTGTCACAGTAGCTTGCACGCATAGTACCACTAATCGAAAAAAAAATGACAGGCAGAGGCAGGCCACCCCTACACTGCGCATTGGGTAAACCTGCTGACGGCTGCCAAGCATGGAATGCATGGCTCTGCAGAGGAGTTGGTGACACCGCCACGACTTGCAGGCAGTCCTGCTGCCACCTCCTCTACTCCTCCTACTCCATCCTCTTCCATAACCTCCTCGGCTGAGTCCTCTTCTGCTGCTGCGTCTTGCTCCACATCAATGGATAGGGGACGTAACAGGGATTAAACTGATAAGAATAGTACTACTTAACACACCGCTCCTATCTGGTGGCACATTAGATTGCACGCGCAGTGCCCCAAATTTGAAGTAGGAGGACCAAGCATCTTTTTCCATCTCCCGGTTCCTAAAATTGATGCCATATACACGTCCCCTGATAGGGGACGTAACAGGGATTAAACTGATAGGAATAATACTACTTAACACACCTTATAATAACGCAGAGAGAGGCAACGCAGAGAGAGGAGTCTGAAGAAGAGGAGTCAGAGGAGGAAGGTGGCTTTGAGGAGGTGGAAGACCAAATACAGCAGGCGTCCCATGGGGCTTGTTGTCACCTTTCGGGGACCCTTGGTGTTGTACGTGGCTGGGTGGAGGAAGAGACCTTCAATGACATGAGTGAGGACAAGGAACGGGACATGGCTAGCTTGGTATCCAACCTTGTGCAAATGGGGAGTTTGCGGTTGTGCAAATGGACTGTTTGCGGTTGTTTGCGGTGCGTTAAACGGGGAGTTTGGTCTGTCACTGTGAAGCGGGCGTAACCCTTACACTTGTAATGAAAGATGATATAACAACCTTAGTTGATATAGATATTCCAGGAGCTGGTCCACCTAAAATGGCTTTGGATGTTCTTGTGCCTGCTATATAAATCAAAATATATTAAAAGATGTGTAAATATACACCTAAAATGTGGTGGTGTAGAAATTTACTCAGATAAACTCCAATACTTTCTAAAAGGGACTGGAAAAAAGTGCAACAGTAATGTGTGGTGTATACACCTTTAAATCTGCTATAGGCAGAATGAATGGAATAAACACCAAATATTATACTTCACATATAACAACTAAAGGGAAATTGAGAAACAGTATATAGAACTGTTCTCTCTGCTAATGAGAGATAAGATGAAAAAAATTATTCACATAGATTTCTCTGTGCAATATAACCATATATGGTGTCTGTGCATTTAAGTCTATTAAAAAATAGACAAAATAGAGCATGCACCAAAATAATGTACTTTTAGGAAAGGTATAAACCATAAAATAGGAATACAGTACTGAAGACTGATCCTATATTGCAATAAAATGTAATATCGCTTTAAAAACAACCACGTAAAAAGATAAATAAGTCAAATTTATTAATAAGAAATACTCAAAGAGTAATTAAAAAAATATAATAAATGAATAAACTGATTAAAATACAAAAATATAAGCCAGGAATGAAAAGCAAGACTATTACCAGCACAATTGTAGTCCTTGTTTGTAATTTATATCTGGGACCGGCCAGGATGGATGTGGATACTTTGTGTCACAAAAGTTTCCTCTGGCTGTCGGCTTGTCGGTGAGGTTAGCGTGCGTCTCAGACCTCACTCTGAGAACTGTACGCTGCAGCCCGATCGGTCCCCAACTTGTGAGAGCTTTCTTTGATGCACCCAAGGTCCTACTGCTGGGTTGAAGTCTGCCACCGTATCCCGCTTGAGATCTGATGCGTTTCGTGGGTGTCCGCCCCACTTCTTCAGAGATAGAATGATGTTCCGTGGTTGAGCGATGATTTAAATATATGTCTAGTTGATTGATCCTAATTAGTATACATGATGACTATTGCATATAATAAATACAACGATTGAATAAAACTGAGTGTTTAGGAGGATATATTGCACTAACGGTTTTGAAAGAATAAAAATACACAAATAGAAAATAAAGATTTTCACATCCCTGTAGGTGTTCTATCACCGTGTAGAGTGAGGTAACATCTGCTGTTACTAATCTGAGTTGAATCTCTTAAATGTGATTTTAGACATGGTACCAGATTTTGGTACCATGTCTAAAATCACATTTAAGAGATTCAACTCAGATTTTAAATCTTTTATCGGATTTTAATTGGACTGAAGATATGATTTTAGTAACAGCAGATGTTACCTCACTCTACACGGTGATAGAACACCTACAGGGATGTGAGGCCATACAATATTCCTTAGCAGTGTATTCGGAATTAAAGAACGACCAGATTGATTTTATAATTCAATGTATTGCTTTTATTCTTACCCATAACTATTTTTGGTGTGATGAACACTTTTATCTACAAATAGAAGGTACAGCCATTGGGACACGGTTTGCGCCAAGTTATGCAAATCTATTTATGGGCAAATGGGAGGAAGAGTTTATTTGGAACCATTGCCCTTTTGGCGCAAACCTGTCCCTGTGGCGTAGATATATAGATGACTGTTTTTTCATTTGGAAAGGGAACTTAGAATTCTTGGAAGCTTTCCAGATCTACCTCAATACTAACCCATACAACCTTCAATTCACTTTTAATCATTCTCAAGAACACATTGAATTTTTAGATCTCAACATTTTTATTGAGGAAAAGAAGATCCACACCAAAACTTTAAAAAAATCCATGGACTGTAATAGTTTTATCCCTTTTAACAGTCATCATAAACAAACCTGGCTCAGAAATATTCCATACAACCAATTTAGGAGGATCAGACGGAACTGTTCAACAATGGAAGTATGTGAAGAACAAATGGAAGAGATGCAGCAAAGATTCCTTAATTCCTACGGAACTACTGATTGAAGCCAAAAAGAAAGCTATAAAAATTCTGAGAGAAGATACTCTGAAAAATAAGATCAAGACCGACGATACACTTAAATCAGCTCCTACTTTCATAACACAGTTCAATCATCAATCTCACACTATAGAGAAGATTTTGAAAAAACATTGGAACATTCTCAGGAATGATCCCACACTTGTAGAAATTTTAGACTCCAGACCACATGTCATTTTTACCAGAGCACCAAATCTGCAACTTATGTTGGCTCCGACACTTAAAACCTCCAATACTATTAAAAATAAAACAATGGACACAGGTTTTAGAAGATGCAGGAAATGTATAGCCTGCAGGAACAATCCCTCTTTGGAATATACAACTACAAAATTTATATCTACAACCAGTAAGAAGGAATATGACCTGAAGTCCAACATGAGCTGCGACTCAATAGGAGTAATCTCTCATTACATGTCCCTGTTCAAAACAATATGTAGGTCGAACCAAGAGATCATTAAAAATCAGAATATCGGAACATATCCGAAATATAAAACGAGGACTGCAAATACACAATCTCTCCAAACACTTTCAGGAGTATCATGGAGGAGATCCCAAGGCATTGATATTTTTACCTATTGAAAAGGTGAATGTCCACTGGAGAGGGGGAGATATAGAAAGAAATTTGGATCAGGCGGAAGCAAAATGGATATTCCATTTAGAGACTCTGGTCCCTAGAGGTCTCAATGTGGACTTCGAACTCAATGCTTTTCTATAGAACGCTCTTTATAGAACACTACAGAATGTTTTTCTAGAATGCTACAGCATGCCCAGCAGTCCCCCTGCAGCAGCACCCGCCACCCCGACCCTCCAGGGCCATGTGATCATCATGATCACATCGCCGCAATAGGAGTCTAGGAGCTGCCAGCAGGGGGACTGTCTGAGCTGTCAGACAGTCCCCCAGGCTTCTAAAAAGTAAAAAAATAAAATAAATATATTATACATATATATGTATAATATATTATAAAATAAAGCATTTTATAATATATTATACATATATAATGCATATATATGATTTCATTATAAGTGTACCATGAGATATATACATATATATCTCAAAATACACTTATAATGAAATCATATATATACATTATATATGTATAATATATTGTAAAATGCTTAAATTATAATATATTATACATATACAGGAAATAAAAGTGTGTGTGTGTGTGTGTGTGTGTATATATATATTTATATATATATACACACACACACACACACACACATTATATACACACAGGTATTATATGTATGTATGTGTGTGTGTGTATATATATATATATATATACTGCTCAAAAAATAAAGGGAACACAAAAAATAACACATCCTAGATCTGAATGAATTAAATATTCTTCTGAAATACTTTGTTCTTTATTCTTCTGAAATACTTTGTTCTTTTTATAGTTGAATGTGCTGACAACAAAATCACAAAATCTAATTTTTCAACCCATGGAGGTCTGAATTTGAAGTCACACTCAAAATGAAAGTGGAAAAACACACTACAGGCTAATTCAACTTTGATGTAATGTCCTTAAAACAAGTCAAAATGAGGCTCAGTAGTGTGTGGCCTCCATGTGCCTGTATGACCTCCCTACAATGCCTGTGCATGCTCCTGATGTGGTGGCATTGTAGGGAGGTCATACAGGCACATGGCAAATGCCAAACGTCCTGCACGTTGTTGAGCTGAAAGCACAACCCCCACCTGTGGATGTTGGGCCCTCATACCACCCTCATGGAGTCTATCTCTGACCGTTTGAGCAGACACATGCATATTTGTGGCCTGCTGTGGCCTCTGGGAGTGCTCCTCCTGTTCCTCCTTGCACAAAAGCATAGGTAGCGGTTCTGCTGCTGGGTTGTTGCCCTCCTACGGCCTCCTCCACGTCTCCTGATGTACTGGCCTGTCTCCTGGCAGTGCCTCCATCCTCAGGACACTACGCTGACATTTCGACCCCAACCTGGGTTTCGACCCCAACCTGGGTCTTTCTCAAGATCCATCTGGATCTTGAGAAAGACCCAGGTTGGGGTCAAAACGTCGATCGGGACTGTGAGTCCATTTTTTGCTTACATGCAATAAAAGGAGTTAAGATTTTTTCTACTAAAAACCCATGAGCGCACCGCTTATACATATATATATTGTGACAGAGTCTATGGGAGGGTAATAGAAGGAGGGCATTTAGGACCAGAATCCTCCATAGCCTGTACTCATTAACCTGCCCAATTAGCAACTGCTGAGGCTTTAATTAGCAGGTCTCAGAGCAGAAAGGAGAGAGATACAATCTGACCTGCAGAGAGAGCAGCACCAGAAAAAGTGCTAAAGGTTGGTAAAACCAATGTTTATTTTGTTGATTTATGTAGATTATTACCCTGGTTTAGTAAGGGACATTACTTTATGTTTAGTAAGTGCTCAAATTTGAGCTAGGATTTTGTTTGTAGACTTTCCTTTCTGTTTTGCTGCAGTTTTAAACAAACTGATTGCTGCATGGATTTTTGTGCACAATGCAAATAAACCACACCTTTTTTGCATAAGAGACTGTTGTTCTATACCTGTTACCCTAGAGGACTGTGTTGCTTTGCACATAAATGTCACAAGATGGTGGAGAATGCAGGCATCTAAAGCACATTTATACGGTCTGTGGGTATAGAGGCCTAAGGTACTGTGACTCTGCAAACGGAGACTGGTTGTTTGAAACAGAGGCCTGCAGGTGTGGTGTGTGGTATTTACCAAGTGGCTGTGAAAAAAAAAAAAAAGCAAGATGAAAGAGTTAGTAAAAGCCTTGGTACAGGCTACTACTACCCAGCAAGACACAAACCGTGTAACAGCGGCTCAGATCAGTAGCCTCATGGAGTCACAGCGACAGGCTGTTGCAGCCCAACAGGAGACAAACCGCCCATTGGCCACACAAATAGACTGCATTATGGAAACACAGCAGGAAGACAGAGTAAAACTAACAAGTAATTTGCAACAAACCATACTGTCAAGTGTGACTACCCCTACTATGGATAGGGGGCGCCGGATTAGAGTTACTGACTTTTTACATAAAGTGAGTGAGGTTGATGACATGGAGGCTTACCTGACAACCTTTGAAAGGATTGCTACACGAGAAGGATGGCCTCCAGGTCAGTGGGCAGGATTATTAGCCCCTTGCCTCAGTGGAGAATCCCAAAAAGCATATGATGAGTTGCCTCTCAGCCAAGCACAAGACTATGACCGATTGAAAGCAGAAATACTAACACGGCTTGGAGTTACGCCTACAGTGTGAGTCCAAAGATATAATGCATGGGTTTATAATACAGAGAAATCTACTAGGTCACACATGTATAATCTCTTGAGACTTACCCAGAAGTGGCTACAGCCAGAAATCAACTGTGCTGCAGTAATCATTGAAAAGGTGGTTATGGATCGCTTTCTAAGGAGTCTGCCGATAGCGCTACGGAAATGGGTCAGTCAAGCGGAGCCAGTTTGCTAACAAAACTCAGAGTAAAGATCATTACCTCAATGCCAAATTGCAAAGTAACAGGAAACCTGCAAAGAATTCTGGAGGATTTAAAGAAACATATGAAAAAAAAGATTCTGTGCAGACCCATAGACAGACTGACTACATGGAAAATTGGGTGCCCAGGTTCCCAACCCGGCCACAAGGCCACCCTGAGAGACAGATAAAGTGTTATAGATGTCAGGAGATTGGACATATTGCACGTAACTGTCCACAGACTGATGAACCTATGGAATGTAATTTGGGGAGGGGGGAGAAACATGGTGCATTGTTGGTATACACACAAATGTCTGCTTAAACAAGTACTGGTGGTATTAACCATGTCAAAACTGTAAATATGGAGGGGAGGAGTGTACAAGCACTCTTAGATTCTGGGAGTGAGGTTTCATTGGTAAAGGGATCTTTACTTCAGAGTGAGCAAGTAGATAAAATTCACGTGTTGGATATAATATGCATACATGGTGACATTCACATGTATTCCCACGGCCGAGGTGGAATTTGCTACCGCGGTAGGGGTGATAAAACATAGAGTTGGGGTGGTACCATCATTGCCTTATGATGCTGTATGGGGGCGTGATTTTCCCCTCTTTCGGAAAATTTGGGAAGTCACTGCAATAAAACAGCATTAGCGTACAGAGGTAGAGGCAGAAACAGTGGATTTAGAGAATGTTTTCCCTTTTTCTACGATTGATTTGGAGCAGTATAGTGAAAATGAACCCACTGTAGTATGTTTGGGTGAGGAAGGGGAACACAATGAAAGTGATTCCTCCCAAGTAAAAATCTAAGGGAAGAGGTGGAGTTCCATCATCTAGATATTAGTTCAGGAAATTTTCGGGCTGCCCAATGGGAGGATCAAACCTTGGTAGCTGCCCATAATAATGTTCAGGTAGTGGAAGGTACTCCTGTTAACCCAGAAACCCAGTTGTCCCTTCCCTATTTTGCAGAAAGAAATAATTTACTTTACAGAGTAGAGAGGAGGGGGGTTGAAGAGGTTGAGCAATTACTGGTACCTTAATCCCACAGGAATCTAGTCTTAAAACTAGTTCACAGCCATGTATTAGGGGGGCATCTTGAGATTGAAAAAAACAGGGAGAGAGTACTAAGAAGATTATACTGGCCAGGATCCTACTCTGCTATAGAGTGATTTTGAAAGTCATGCCCAGAATGCCAAAGAAAGGCTCCATTCCAAGCTTTCCGTAATCCCTTCATTCCTCTTCCCATCATAGAAGTCCCATTTGAAAGAATTGCTATGGACTTGGTTGGTCCTTTACTTAAATCTGCTAGGGGGTACTAATATATATTGGTAATACTAGATTATGGTACCCGCTATCCCGAAACTATACCTTTAAGAAATACCTCAGCTAAAACCATTGCCAGAGAGTTAATGTTTATGTTCAGCCGGGTTGGAATACCTAGAGAAGTACTTACAGACCAAGGTACCCCTTTTATGTCACAAGTGATGAAAGAGCTATGTAACTTGTTGAAGATTAGACAACTTCAGTGTATCACCCACAAACTGATGGGTTAGTGGAAAGATTTAATAAAACCTTGAAAGCAATGCTCCGTAAGGTAATTGATAAAGATGGTAAGAATTGGGATCGTTTGCTCCCATATCTAATGTTTGCTATCAGAGAAGTCCCCCAAGCTTCCAGAGGGTTCTCACCTTTTGAATTGTTATATGGTAGACATCCTAGAGGTCTCCTTGATGTTGCGAATGAAACATGGGAACAGGAACACCCATAGGAGTGTTATTGAAGATGTGGCACAAATGCAGGATCGCAGTGAGGCCATAATGCCAATTGTCAGGGAAAATATGGAGAGAGCACAGGAAGCCCAGAAAGCTAGTTATAACAGGAATGCTAGACTTAGGGTCTTTCAACCCGGAGACAGGGTTATGGTACTAATCCCCACAGTAGAAAGTAAATTCCTTGCAAACTGGCATGGCCCATACGAGATCATTGAACGAGTCAATGAGGTGAATTATAAGGTGAGACAACCTGGTAGAAGAAAGCCCGAACAAATATACCATATAAATTTACTTAAACCCTGGACAGATACAGAGGTCTTGATGGCCATGACAGACAAAGTTCCTCAGACCAAAGTAGACAAAGTACCAGAGGTTAACATTGCTGACACTCTAGCACCTCATCAGAAAAATGAGGTCCGAGAGTTTGTTGCTAGAAATCGGGATGTGTTTGCTCCAGTACCAGGAAAGACTCATGTTATTGAACATGACATAATTACGGAACCTGGATAAGGGTTAACTTAAAACCCTACCGAATCCCAGAGGCCAGAAAAGAAGCCATTAAAGCAGAGGTCCGAAAGATGCTTGAGCTAGGGGTTATCGAGGAATCACAAACTGAATGGAGTAATCCTATAGTGTTGGTACCCAAGCCAAATGGAGAAATCAGATTCTGTAATGATTTCAGAAAATTAAATGAGATATCAAAATTTGATGCTTATCCCATGCCTAGGGTTAATGACCAAATAGAGAGATTAGGACGATCCAGATATCTGACTACATAAGATCTCACTAAAGGTTATTGGCAAGTTCCCTTAACAGAGCGGGCCAAAGAAAAAACTGCTTTTTCCACACCAGAAGGTTTATTTCACTATAAAGTCTTACCTTTTGGGTTGCATGGTGCCCCTGCCACCTTCCAAAGAATGATGGAAAGAATCCTTAGACGCCATAGTGAATACTCGACTGCCTACCTTGACGATGTGGTTATACA